AAAAAAAATAAAAAATAAATTCGTTACAATACATATGTATAGTATCAATTTATATAATCTATATTATGCTAAAATCATAATAGTAATAAACAAAAAATTCAATATCTGAAAAAAAAATCATATGTAACTAATTATATGTTACGTGATAGCAGATGTATAGCGATCTTATTGGCTGTTCTCTAATTTAGCCCTTTCTAAATGCATGCTTTAGAGCCAGTCTCACAATATGCATTTAGGAGGTCTAACTGTATATAATAAAATAAAAAGCACTAAAATACAAAAAAATACAACTAATACATAATTTTCAGTAATCTTACTTGTATCATTCAGGTGCTGGAATGTTGTGCAATTTTGTTATTTTGTTCAGAAGTATTCTTAATATTATTTTGTTTTCAAACAGAAGACTGAAGATTTTTTTTGGTGATGTAGCAGGAGTTAAAATGCCCTAATTAATATTTTGCTTTTAAACAAATTTGAAGAATCTTGGGTATCATCTTTATTATTATTTTTACTATTTGTAATATCTTACTTATGGGATCGAACATTTTTTCCTTCTATATTAATTACAAAAAATAATGTGTTATCCTTAAATAGAAATTTATTGAACAAAAGCTGAATACGTACATATCTTTTTTTGGTAGTAGCAATGTATTACTGTTTTTATTATTTGTAATATATTGCTTATGAGATTGAACATTTTTTCTCCTATATTAATTACAGAAAATGATACGTTATCTTTAAATGAAAATTCATTGAACAGAAGCTGAATACCTTTTTTTGGTGGTGGCAATATATCACTATTTTTATTATTTGTAACATCTTGCATAGATGATCAAATATTTTTTTTTCTATATTAATTATAAAAAATAATGTGTTGTATTTAATAAATATTTATTTTTACTAGTCCTAGCTGTAGATTCCTAAAATAATTCATATAATCTATTTAAATAATGTAATGCATAATTATTTAATAAAGACCAAGACCAGGCCTCATTTTTAAAAAAATAAACAAAAATAAAAATAAAAAATAACAAATAATAATAAAATTTTTGAACAGAAGGTTAAATACCTTTTTTTGGTAATAGCAATATTATAACCGCAGATGTTAAAGTATTATATTCTATCTTATCAATACCATCTTGTGTATCTACAAAAATAGAAGTATCAGAATCTTGTGCATAGTCAGTTATCTCATTTGTGTCATCTTGATCGCTATCATTTTCTATATCAATTATGAAGATTAATTATTTGTTTTTTGTCTTGGTAATACAAATTCTTTTTCTTGATCAACTTTGTTTGATACAGGGGTAGAAATGTTAAAATCTTGTATATAGTTAGTTATCTTATCTACATCATCTTGATTGAAATACTTTCTATATTAACCTGACTTGTACTACTTTCTTGAAGTTCAATTATCTCATCCGCATTATCTTGATCTAAAATATTTTTTAGATCAACCTGGCTTGTATTATTTTAAAGGTCAGCTACCTCATCTGCACCACCCTGATCTGAAATACTTTTTATATTAACCTGGTTTTTATTATGTCTTCAAACAGGAGGTTGAACATTCTTTTTTCAAAGTGGCAATACATGCTCTTTAGCTTGTGTCTTAGCAATTTTTTTTTTTTGCTTGATCAACTATTATTGGCAAATAAAATAAAATATTAGAATATAAATAACAAAAAATATAATGATAGAAATTACTTACCTATACTATTACAATATGAAGTAAGCTAATCATAAAGAACAAAATTAGCCTCAGAGACTGAAAACATTGGATTGGCTTCATTAAACTATAAAAAAATAATAAATAATACTTTTTGTATTATTTAAAAATATTAATAAATTCAAACTATTTACTTCTTTAATAACTTCTTTGGCTTTTCCTTTTGGTTGCCAGGATAGAGATTTACCATGTGAAAATAAAGACGCTGCACGATTTCATAAAT